GCAGAACGGACTACTGCAAGGAAACGGGAATGGCTTATTCTCGCCTGCATGGAGCTGGATTAGGCCAGAAGCGCATTGCCTTAGCTTGACACCCCCTGTCTGGCATAACCGATCAGAAAGGGGGCTTGCTGCTATACCCACACCAGCGTGTCCTGTTTCTGTCCTCTTACCAGCTGGCTATTTGGAATAACCTGATAAAGTGCAAAAAGCTTCACAAGCTGGCCGCATTTTAAATACTGTCTGAATTTCAGGCTTTAGAGAATGCAGCACCAGCGTTTGGCTAACCGGAGAGAACTGGTGGCATCCGAGCTGAGCAGTAAGTTTGGGAGGGCACTCGCTGTTGCAGGAGGGCAAGAGCAGGTAGTATCGTGTCCCGGGCAGGCGCAGCTCTGAGGCTGCGGGAACCAAATCTCCCGGCACAGAGAGCAGCAGCATTGCTCCGAACAGGCTCTCGGGACGCAGGAGCAAGTCAAAACAGGCAAATCAAATGATGGCGATTAAGAAAGGAACAGAGAATGAAATGAAAATACCATCATGTGAGTGTCTAGTGCGCCTGTATCTGGTACGGTTCTGCCTCTCGCATCCCCAGACCTGAATGCAGTTTGGGGGAAAGCAAAGGGCTGCAACAAAGCGTCCATCCAAGGGATGACTCAGTAGCCCGGGATGTTGCAGTTGGGAAGGACACAACAGGGGGGAAACAAGGTAGGGGCGCGTGGAGCAGGAGGCTCAGCTCATGGTTTCTGCTGGCACAAGAGCTGGGGGGGAATCAAGTTAAACTAGTTCGAAGCTGGTTGAAAACGAGCAGGCAAGAGAGTTCCTCGCACGATGTGTAGGAAGAGTAGGAAACTGCTTCCTTCGGGGCATCGCAGCCTCTGCAGGTCTGAGGGTTCCCGTAGACAAGTCCATAGAGGAAAACGATCCGGAGCTGGCAATGCTGCTCCCCTGCCGGGGCGGGAGAGCCTTGCCCACGCGACCCCGAGCTGGGAGCACCTGGGGGAGGTGTC